TCCCTGGAGAGGAGGAGCCGTTGCGCCCTAGAGACAGAAAAGGTGGGAGTTTATGTTCTCCCACACCTACCAAGTCAGAGAAAGTTCCTTAAAGTGGCTCTCCACTCTAGTTCTGCCTAATTCACCCTCTGCTTGTTCTACTGAGGCAGGTAGATAGGATGCTTCTAAGTTGATTCCCCAATCCAACACTGAGTCTTCAAAAACGTGCCAGGAATTCTCTCTCCCATCCATGCTAGATGTCTGTGGTCTCTGACAAGTGCCTGTCAGTGAGGGTGGACTGAAATATAAGGCACTTGCAGTCGCAGGGGTGATGGGAGCCATGGTGCTGTGTAGAAACTTTTTTTTTGCATCTGAGACCTAACATGACTATAAGTCCATTATACACTGAGATCTTTGTTTACCTATAACTGGCACAGCAATTTTTTTTTAATTTGTTTACAAAAACAGGTGACAAGTCAGATTTGGCCTATGGGTTGTGGTTTGCTGATTCCTGGTCTGTAGTGTTTGTTTTTGTTTTCTGAGACAGAGTCTTGCCATATACTCCATGCTGCCCTGGAACTCATGGCAATCCTCCTGCCTCTGCGTTTCAAGGGCTGGCATCACAGGCACGCACCACTGTGTCTGGCCTGCATGTTGCTTTATTCCTTTATCTCTCAGACTTGCTAATCTCTAACTATTTAACAATTGGAGACTTCCAGGTGTTGTTAATGCAGTATGGAGCAGGAAGATGCAAAAGCTTGCAGTTGACAATCTATTCGTTATGTTCCTATAAATCTTGAAAACATTTTGGTGTTTTCTACTTTGGTGCCTTCTACCTTGAAGGAGGAAGAGGGAGATCAAGTAAATTGGGAGGCTAAGGCAACCTCAGTGCTCTGCTTCTAGAGCTGCGCAAGATTCTGACCTAAAATTTTACACAGCGAAAGGAAGCAGATGCAATATGAAGACATAAACGCCAATCATTTGTCCTATTGTGGTTACCACTGGACACATGCAGGCCCAAGAGTCAGTACTCTTAAAGTAGCCTTTAAGTACCTGTTACAATCACATGTAAGATGTTTTCATATCCTTTGGTAAGAAGTTTATAGTCTGAGTAGACCTCACCAGAATTTCCAGTCTTCCACACATAGATAGATGAGCAAGGTCTAAATTGAATTTAAATAGCATATCAAGAACTGTTTTATGTTTCCCAAGCTTTCTTTAAATGTTCATACAAATCAGGAAGACTACATACAAGTTCCTGATCCAAATTAAAGTATATGTAGCCTTGTGAGCTGCGCTGTCCCCGTGGGCTTCCAAATCCAAGTTTGTCTTGCGTATCGTGCAGAGTGCTGTTTTCCAAATCTAGTTGTATGTAACTTCCCATTGGTCACTGGCATGTCAAAAACATGAAACAGTCGCTTTGACTTCAGAGGTGCCTGCCCGCCATGCTGGCACCCATATCATAATTGTACTCACTTTCATTATCTAGGAAAACATGGTCATGATATTCACCACGGTAATAAAAAGAACTAGCGCTACCTTCATACAAACCAGCACCATCTAGGCACAACAGTTCATCTGGAGATGGGCTGGCACACACCTGTCCAGGATTACTGCCACCACACATTTCCATCACAGAGGGAGCCCAGCGACACCACCCAGTCTGGCACTGTGGACCAAAAGGCACAGCGGCCTTGTGCCTGCCCAGGAACAGTGGTGACAGCAAGTAGGAGTTGCATAAGCTACGAAATATGTAGTGGCACTGATACACTGTTTGCCTGGCGACAGTAACTGGTGGGTGTCAAGAACAGACGGGGAACATGAGTTTCTTGTTTTCTTCAAACTTCACCCCAAATGTAGGGCAGGTTTCCAGGATGTGGGAGTTGGGGTAATGGCCAAAGTATCAGCATCAAGAGGAGCTGATGAGCAGGCTGCCATCACCACTTGCTGTCACTTAAAAACCAGTGCCTGTGATACCCACAGTATGGCCCTCATCCTAAGCACGTGGGCCATAAGGATATCGCTAAAACTGAACTCTAATCCCTAACCCTCTAACCTAAGCCAACCGTAACCTAAAACCTGCATTCTAACTTGTAAGCCTATTGCAGCCCTAATGGCTAGCCCTAACCCTAGTCCAACTCTAATCCTACCCTACCCCTAAACCTAACCTTTGTCTATCTCCAAACCTGTCTCCTGTCCCTAACCCTAAGCCCTATCGATTCCCTACCCAAAGTCCTACCACTGACAACCCTAACCTTACCCTATTGTACTCCTATCCTCACCCCTACACCTAAACCCTAACCTCCAAACTCTTCCCTGACACTAAACTTAAACCAACCCTGACCCTAACTCTAATTCCAAATAGCCTCAATCTTAATCCTAAACCCAAAATGGAACCTAGACCCATACTCTAACTCTTACTCTAACCCTATTCCTGACACTAACCATAATTCTATCCCTAAACCAGACCTGGACTTATAACCTGATCCTGACCCTAAACATAAAAATAACCCTAATCCCTTACTCTATTCCTACACCCAACCTGAAACTACCTATGACCCCTAATCTCTAACCCAAACCCCAATCATAACCCTACTCCTACAACCTCAAACCTAAAATCCTTACTTCTAACCCTACACTCAACCCTGATCCTGACTGATCTGACCCAGACCCTAAAACTGACCCTAGCCCTGACTCCTAACCCTAACACTAACCCCACCCCTAAATCCTAAACCAGATTTAGACCCTGACCTGGACCTTGACCCCAAACCTAATCCTGACTCAAATCCTAACCTGTAAAGCTAATCCCTAATCATAACCACTAGTAACCTAAATTACATTCCTAACTCCCAGCCCCTAACCCTAACCTTGACCTACACTGCAATTACTTCTCACCCAGTCAGAATTTCTATCATTAAAAATAATAAAACAATGAATGTGGATGGACATTTGGGAAATTTGCTGGGTATGTAAACTAGGACAACTACTATGGAAATGACATTACGGAGATTTATTAAAAGACTGAACAATAAGTACCAGTTGAGCAATCTGCACCACTCCTGGGTATATCCCCAACAGATTCCAACGAAGCACGCATACAGCTGCGTACACATTTGTAGCAGTGAAATTTACCATACCTGAGCTCTGGAAACAATCTAGATGCTCACCAACAAATGTGTAAGTAAAAGTTGTAAAACTATAGAGAGAGAGAGAAAATATTCGGTCAAAGAAATGCAATCGTATGCTTTGTAGGAAGATGCAGGAAAACAGAAATCATTAAAAATCAGCCAAATTCAGAAAAGTAAATATATTTCTTCTTATAGGATAAACCCCCAAATACATAAATCAATACATAATGAAGAGAAAACAGAAAACCAGAAGATAGACCTCTGGAGATGGGAAAGAGGAAAACTAGGAGAGGAAGAAAGGGAGAGCGGGTAATGGGAAAGAAAATTCACTAAGATGTTAATTTTATGTATCAACTTCCTAAAATAATTTCCATCGTTATGAAATATTACCATACACTAATACTAAAGTCTCAAAAGCCATCTCCCATACAGAAGGAAATAATAAAATATACCAATTCAATAAATGTATCTTAATATGGTCACTGTGAAATTGCACTTTCAAATTAATTTCTGAACACTATTAAATACGATAAAAACCATTGTTAAAGTCCCAGCACAGGGGAAATATATAATACTTTGATGAAGTAAGCTACAGTAAGTCATGCATAAGTAACAGGCACGTTTTCACAAAAGGATAAAGTTGGCATGGAAAGATTCTAAAACAGGAAGCATGATATTCTGGAAAAATGAATCGATGGTAGACAAAGTTTTTTATTCAGAATGTGAAGTTTCTAGTTTGCCAATAAAGTATCAACTTTGGTGATATATCTTGCTTTTCCATATTTCTCTTTTCTTCTCAATATATACAAAAATTCACATATACACAATATGATTCTCTTATGCCTAGTCAATGAATTGTGATTCTTGTATAACTGAATTAATACAAACGAATACCCAAGTCCAGGCATGCTTTGTAGGCCTAACGTGGTGACATGTGGAAACATTTATAGGACAATCTGTGTACTCAGCGATTCGGGATTCAGAAAGCTGGAGCTTATTATTATGCTTCTAAAACCATCATAATTTCCCATTAATGACAAAAATTATTAGATATATGAAGTATGAGAATATTATTGAAGTTTAATGACATTTTGAAAAAACCTACTAGAAATGTCATTATGCTATTTATCCAACAGTATACTCATACTGTCATTCATAACCTTGAGTACGATACCATATTGTACTTTCTGTAGAATAACACGTCATTCAGTATTGCACTTTTCACATACTAAAAACCTTTTAACTTATTAAAAGAATAAAGTGCCAGGCATGGCTGTGCATGCCTGTAACCTCAGCACTCATGAGGCTGAGGCAGGAGGATCACCAAGTTCAAGGCCAGCCTGGGCTACACAGTGAAATCAAGGCCAGCCTGAATCACATAGCAAGACCCTGTCTCCAAAAATGAACAAAGAGGGCCAGGGATGTCGCTCAGGGGCACCGCACCTACCTGGCAAGTGCAAGGTCCTGAGTTCAAGCCCTAGTACTGGAAAAAGAATCAAAAAAAGAACAAATAAAATTTTAAATATAATAGAAGAGTAAAGTGTACACATAATCTCAAGAAAGTATTTTAAAAGCCAGTGTATGCTAAGAAAAAAAGAATGTGAACCGTCAGGAAATAATGCTGTTCTTCTGACAATGATCGACATGAGAACCGTCCTTTATCCAATTTTGAAAACAGGCTAGTGAACATGGATTTGTAATACACTTTTGTCCCTTCAGAGGTGAGTGACCTATACTCTTTACCATCTGTGAGGATTACTTTTTCTACCACACCAATTAAAACTATCCAGTAAGTTTTAAACAAGTTAGTCTGTGCCGTATTTTTCATGTTTGTGTGATTTCTCACCAATAATTCTCTTACATTATGGTCATATGTATGATGAAAAGCTTTGCTACTCTACATTTGCATGTTTTTTCTAATCTAAATATTACAATGTACAAAGGTTTATATTTTTGATGTCTTCTTAGTCACTGTAGATAAAAGGTTTTTAGCCAATATGATTTATCTGATGTTGAATAACGACTAAATATTAAATACTTGGCTTTATTTGCATTTGTATGGTTTCATTCCAGTATCAACCGTCTGACTTTGAGTAAGATGTAAAATCTATTACAGTCTTTACCACTTTTTTTTTTTTGGTTCTGGGGATCGAACTCAGGTCCATGCTTGTGAGACAGGTGGTGGAACAACTGCGCTGAATCCCCAGCCCTGCCACATTCTTTCTATGGGTGGGATTTTTATGTACTGTATTAGGAATTCCGTGATGTTGTCTAAAACTTGAATTATGGGAAAAGCTTTGCCTTATTTCTTACATTTGTAGGATTTCTCTCTGGTAGGAACTATATCATGTTCAGTAAGGCATGAGCCCCGCTAAAGGCTTTTTCACGTTCATTACATTGGTAGGGTTCTCTCTGGTGTGTATTCTGCGGTGCTCGGGAGGGTCTGGGTACTGACTAAAGGCTGAGCCACAATCTTGACACTTGTGAGGTTCTTTCTACTGTGAATTCTCTGGTGCTGGATTAGTCTGGAGCTTCGATCAAAGGATTTGCCGCATTCTTCACATTTATAGGGGTTCTCACCAATATGAACTCTCTGGTGTTGAATAAACCTCAAATTCTGATGGAAGCCTCTGCCACATTCTTTACATTTGTAGGGTTTCTCACCAGTGTGAATTTTCTGGTGCTGACTAAGTCTAGAGCTTCGGCCAAAGGCTTTGCCACATTGTTCACATTGGTAGGGTTTTTCATCATCGTGAATTCTTTGGTGTTGAATCAATCTGGAGATCTGGCCAAAGGTTTTGCTACATCCTTCACATTTGTAGAGTCCCTCACCAGTGTGGACTCTCTGGTGTTGAATAAACCTGGAACTCTGATTGAAGGCTTTGCCACATTCTTGACATTTGTAGGGTTTCTCAATGTTATGAACTCTCTGGTGCTGAGTAAGTCTGCAGTTTTTATCGTAGGTTTTGCCACATTCTTTACACTTGTAGGGCTTCTCACCAGTACGAAATCTGAGGTGACGGATGAGTCTGGAAATGCGGTCAAAGGTTTTGCCACATTCCTCACAGGTGTAGGCTTTCTCACCAGTGTGAACTCGCAGGTGATGAATAAATCGGAGGCACTGATCGAAGGCTTTGCCACACTGCTCACATTTGTAGGGTTTCTCATCACTGTGAGCTCTCTGGTGTTGAGTAAGCCTGGAACTTCGATCAAAGCCTTTGCCGCATTCTTCACACTTGTAGAGCTTCTCCCCAGCGTGAACTCTCTGGTGCCGAGTAAGACTGAAGGGTGCATGGAAGGTTTTGTCACATTCTTTACACTGGTAGCGCCTCTCTCCACTGTGGATTTTCCGATGTCGAGTAAGGTTTGAGGACATTCGAAAGGCTCGGCCACATTCGTTACACTGGTAGGGCTTCTCCCCAGTGTGAATGCGCTGGTGTTGAGTCAGGTTGGAGGACACGTTAAAAGCTCTGCCACACTCTTTACACTTGTAGGGTTTCTCACCAGTGTGAATGCGGTGGTGCTTACTAAGGTTGGAGGGCTTACTAAAGGCTCTGCCACATTCTTTACACTTGTGGAGTTTCTTTCCAGCACAAATTCTCTGGTGTTCAGTGTATTTTGAATGAGATTTCACAATACCTGAGATCAAAGGAAAGTGATTATTATACTACCAAAGTGATTACCACAGTACTCCATATAGTCCACTGAGCAGCACAGACTATGAAGATGAAATATGGGCAAACCTTTTTTTTTTAATTGAAAATACCAACAAATCTAGAGAAGGCACACAACAAAATAGGTTTGTGACACTCCACATATTTCCAGTTCACCGATGGTCACTGGTAATACATGAATGATATCAACAAATTACTGTTATTGTACCTTTAAACTTTATTTACTTAAATTGTGTGTAGTGCCCATAAGCCTGATGTTTTGAAATAGATATGATGTCACAGAATGACTACACCTAGGTAACTACCCTAGCTAATTAACATGTGCATTATTTCACATTATTATCATTTTGTGCTTTTAACAGGACATGTGTTATAATAGCATTTTTCAAGAACACAGTATATTTACTGTAGTCACCATGTTATACAGTATATCTCTTGAACTTTTTAGGCCTACTTAACTAAAATCTCGTTGCTTTTGATCAACATGATCCCAAACCAAAACCTAGCAACCACACAGCCCAGAAACCACCACTTCACTCTTTCTGGGACCAACACCAACTACTGTAGATCCCACTTACTAATGCGATGACAAAGTGACAGCTTTGTGGCTTATTTCACTGATTGTAAACTCCCATGGGCTTGCCCATATTGAATCAAATGACAAGATAATCACACCACATGTTTCTTACTCATCAACTATTGATAAGAATTAGATGGATTCGATATTTTGCCTATTGTGAATAATAGTTCACCAAACATGTCAGTAGGTATATCTCTTCAAAATATGGAAATAATTTCCAGTGACCATAGATTCCAGATGACTATTCTACTTTTATTTCTTACTTTGTGTGGTGCTGGAGATTAAAACCAGAGCCTGATGTATTTACACTCCCGGCCTTATTTATAATATTTTGAACAGCTTTCATACTGTGTTCCATAATAAATGTACTAATCTACAGAAAGATCATGGATAAATGAACAAATCTCAGCAACAGACAGCGCAACACAACAAAGAATGATGGAAATATGGCCCAATTAAAGTTACAAAATAAAACACTCGATCCTGACAAGAGTAAAAGATTTTAAGTTATCCAAAGAATTCAAATCAAGAATTGAAGGTCTCTAAAGAAACAAACACATAATATAGATAACTAAATCAGGAAAATGAGAACATCAGCAAAGACAAAAATAATCAATAGAGACAAACTGAAAAGCTGTGGCTGAAGAATTCATTTAAAATAATGCCAAGAAATCCTCAAACATAATTGAGGAAAAAAGACATCAAAATTCAAGAAGCTCAATTATCTCTCAGGTTAGGGTTAGTCAGCCCAGCCTGGAGCACAGCTGCACCTGGGAGGGGCTGGGAGGGCCACCTGGATTGTCACTGCTGACTCACAGCAGACCAGCGACCAAATGGCAGCAGGGAACAAGCTGGGAGACCTCAATGAAACTCAGACTGAGAGGAAACGGGACAGAGGACACTTTAATTTCGCAGTTTTGTAACTGCAGGAGGATTTTTATGGTGGTTTCCTTTCTTTCCTTTTTTTCTTTTTTCTACTCTCTTCCTCTCTTACTCACCCTTTTATCTTCCCTCTCTTCCCCCCCTCCTTTCCACTGATGTATACCGTACAGGCAGGTGTCTGCATATATGCAAAGGAGAATAAGAACTAATGCGCGCCTTCAGTCAGACAGCACCTTCCAGGGGAGACTCAGAGCGACCTTACCAAAACTGGGCAGAGAGGCTCCAAACAGAGCTAACTACTAACAAATTCACAGACTCCGACCCTGCTCACGGCTTCCTAAATCTCTAGTTACACTTCCTTCCCTCTGCATTTCATCTCCTGCTCCCACAAAATTCTCTTAAACCTACCAACACCGGCCTTTACTCCACCTACAAAAATAATTCCAAGAGCCCAATCTCACGTCTGTTTTCATCTGTTGATACATTTCCTATCTCCTTCTCTTCTGACTGACTCACTTCCTTTTCCCTTCCCTCCTTCCTCCGCATTTCAGACTGTCGGTGGCAGTACGGGGCACAGACAAAAGTGTGAAGCTGTTAAACCAAGTCTGAACGCACATGACTGGCGTGTGATCTACCCAGTAGGGATTCCCTCCCTGCAACACAGCAACCAAGTCCAACCCCATTAAAAACTGAGTAGATCTAAATACCAAAATACAAACAAACCCAAGATTACATCTCTGGAAAGCAGATACTAATTAAAGAAATCTCTACACAGGCAACAAAGTCCATCAACTCTAACTAATCCTCAACGCTGAGCACAAAAAGATAGAAAATAAGAAAACTAGGCAAAAATAATGCTTAAAAAATGATCAACTCCCCCAAAGCTGATCCAAGGGGCATTGATGGGGAGGAAATAACCAAATGTTTGAATTATAAAAAATGATTAAAGAAAAAACAAAAAATTAACAAGGTGTTTGATGAGCTCAAAGATGTTATAGCGAAACAGATAACGGACTTAGTAAAAACTGATCAGTAAGGTCAAAGAAGACACAAAGAAAAAACTAGGAGCTAACAAAATGATTCAAAACATGAATCGTTTAGTAAAGAACTGGAATCCATGAGAAGGTACCCAGCAGAAATGCAGGAGATAAAAATTCTATTGATACTATGCGCAGCAGAAGTGACCAGTGGGAGAGCAAGGTCAGAATGACAAGAGACGGCTGATGCAGGGCACCATTTACTCTGACATCAACGGGAAAGAGATCTAACAGCTGCTGGGTGACACAAAGCAGACTAACCTATAACTCACTGGGATTAGATAAAAACTATAAGATGGCAAAATGGCATAAAAAATCTGTTTACAGAAAGAGAAAATTTTTCAAGCATGGGAAAAGAATTCAAATTTATGTAAGTGAGCCATACAGTACCCCAAACAGCCATGACCAGAAAATAACTTCCCTACAGTACACCACGGTCAAATCCCAGAAGTCCAATATGAACACAAAATCTTAAAATCTGTCTTAGAAATGAAACAAATCCTTATGAAGACAAACCCACTACAATTACAGTAGACATCTCAGCACAAACATGAAAGGTCAAGAGAGTCAGGAAAAAAAGAGTTTCAAGCCCTAAAAGAAAACAACATTCGGTAATAAGGGAGAGGAAAAAAATACGAGAAACTGAAAAAATGGAAATAAAGTATTTGTAAATGGGGAGGGGAGGAGGGGGTAAAGGGAGGGCAGGGACAAGGGGAAAAAATGAGAATTAAGACTTATTATGTAAAGGTACAAGATCCCAATGATGAATGTAACTGTATTGTATACCTAGATTGTACCAATAAACTTAATTTAGATTAAAAAAAAAAAGAAGAAAACAACATTCAACGAGACAAATATTCCTGCAAAACTATCTTTCAAAACTGATGGAGAAATAAAGACTTTCCATGGTAAAGGTCAAACAAAATTATGCCCTCCAAAATTTTTCAAAGAATATTCTAGACAAAGCTAATAAAGACAACAACATCAAAGTTTAATGGAATAAATATATCAAGCACAGTGAGCAGTTAAGCTGAAGAGTGAGCAGTTAAACTGAAGAAAACACAAGGAAATCAGCAACAGATAATGTAATCACAAGATAACTCTCAACATAAATAGTCTCAACTCCCAGTCAAGAGACATAGATCAGTGAATTGGATCAAAAAGGCAAAGAACCTCAATGGTATGCTGCATATAACTTCATTTATCTGAAAGGAAATACATAAACTAAAAATCAAAGGAAGAAAAACAATATTCCATGCAACGAGCCCCCAAAAGCAAGCAAGAGTAGCTGTGTTATCTTAAGACAAAGTGGATTTCAAAAAAAAAGAGGAAAAAATAATTGAGATGTGCTATATACATGTACTAATTCCCCACAATGAATGTAATCATTGTATACATGCACTTCAAACATGTACTACCGAAAATAAAACTTTTTTAAAAAAACAAGGGTCAGGGATTTAGCTCAGTGGTTCCACCGCCTGCCTTAGAAGCACAAGGTCCTGAGTTTGATCGCCAGTACCAAAAAAAAAAAAAAAAAACAGGTGGACTTTAAGCCAAAACTAGGAGAGGAAAAATGGTCATTACATATTGGTTAAGGAAACAATTCAAAAGGAAGAGATAACAATCTTAAATATACAGCAATACCTCAGTTCATGAACATTTCTGTTTGCAAACAATTTGGTTTAGAAACAAAAGCATATGGCAAAATTTGCCTTCTGTTTGCCAACAGACACAACCACAGCCATTTTCCCTACACAAACACAAATGCAGCCATCTTCCCCGAAACCCTAAAACAAATTAAATTCATAAACTGAGATTCTACTATATCTGCACCAAATACCAGTGCACCCAACTTCTTTAAACAATCATTACTGAACATAAAAGATTAGATAAACATCAACCCACTATTACACAATCATAAATATATAGATCAAGTAAGGAAAAAAAAATCAACAAAGGAAATAACAAAGTGAAGAGACAAAGTACAGAATGTGAGAAAAAAAACTAGTAATTCCTCATTCAGAAGACTAATATCCCAAATATATAAAAATCTCAAAAAGAACAAACACCCCCAAATAAAAGCCTCAATCACAAAAATGGGCCACTGAAATGGACACTTCTCAGAAGATGAGGTACAAATGGCCAATAAATAAATGAAAAAATATTCAATATCTCTGCCCACTGGAGAAATGCAAATTAAAACACTGAGATTTCACCTTATTAAAAAAACAATGGTTAAGAAATCAATGGTCAAGAAATTTAAAAATAACAAATGCTGGGGGGGGGAAAGGAACAACTTCTACATTGCTGGTGGGAGTATAAACGAGTACAACCCTATGCCAATCTGTATAGACATTCCTGAGAAAAAGGGAAACTAGAAATCCCATTTCACCAAGCTCTTTGCCTTTCAGTGTCTTCATGAGTTAAGGGCATTATATACAGATGTTTACAGCAGTACGACTCTTAAGAGTTACATCTTAGAAGCAGCCTACATGCCCATAAAATGGATAAAGAAATGGATAAAGAAAATGTGTATTTATACACAGTGGAGTACTACTCAGCCAAACAATGGATGTACCCTCAGCCCATTATGTTAAGTAAAATATATCAGACACACACTTAAATATTCCAAGGTTTCTCTTATATGAGCAACCCAAGAGAGAAATAATTTAAAGCACAAAATTAAAGATACATAAGAGGAAATAGGAAAATAGATTTTTCGCACATGGGAAGAGGATCTAGAGATGGTAGGAGTGAGAAGGGCGGGGAAGGGCAAAAGAGGGTAAGAGGAAGTAAGACGTCTCTGTACGTGTAGTAACGCCCCATTACAAATGTCATCGCTACACACAGCAAACACACGCTAACAAACATTAAGAGCATTAGCTTCACTCGTGACACAGGCTCTCTCACCTGTGAGCTCTGTGTCATTCATCCCGACCTACCTGGGTGCCTGGCTGCTGTCCCCCGTGTCTCCACATTCCAGGGCTCCTCGCTTTGCTCCAGGCGGGAGATCAGGTGCGGCTTAGAGGCCGCTAGACCTGTTTATTGGAAACACAAGGTAACACCAGTGATTCTTTCAGAAACTACTGAAGTTTCCCTCCAAGTACTGTACTCGGTAGATAACAGAAAACATGATGGGTTCCAGAAAATTTTTCCTCCAAATGCTCTCCTCAGAAAGAGCCACCAGATTGTTTGGAAAGCATGTGAAAGCTCCACCTGCAACGACTACAAAGTCAAAGCTAAAGAATCACCTTTAAAATAACAGGCAACAACATTTTGTGACACTGAGCTTCAAAAATTACCACTAACCTAGCATGGAGGCTGCATGATACGTCCAGGAGGAGAGAAGCTAAAGACAAGGATGTACGACATAAGGATTTTTTAATCTGTGGAACAAACCTCCATCCTTATCTTTGAAAACAGATATGTGAAATGCATTCATGAAAACCAAAAGTTTCCAAGCAATGTTTCAAAAAGGAAGGATGTTAAACGTTGATAGTGAGGTAGGAATTCCGCAGGGAATTTATCCTCACCCAAGGAGAAAATGTTCCTGTAGTTCTCTAACATCACATCCCTATACAAAGTTCGCTGAACAGGGTCCAGACATTCCCACTCTTCCAGAGAGAAATCGATGACCACATCTCTAAATGTCAACAGCTCCTGAAAGACAGCAACAAATACCATATTATGGGGTTACTGACAGCTCTTAATTTGACCCTATATGAAACAAAGAGTTAGAACTGGTTCTGACATAGGTCTACGACTTTATTCGATTAAGATACTTTTTAAAACACAGCAACGTTCGCTAATGTGTTATGTCAATCTGAGAAGGAGTATGGCCTATCAGCCACAAAACCAGTGCGGACACTACACTCTTTGGAAAATATAAAGTAGAAAATTAAGCCTTCAATGAAGGATTACACATTTTTTTAGTGTGGTATTTATGTCACACACGGTCAGTTAAGCCCATTTCTCAGATAGAAAACTCATGCTGAGTTAGAGAGGTACTTCTCAAACTTTTTGTTACAACCATGACTTGGAGATATTATCAAAAGGCAGGTTCTGATTCAGTAGTTCTGGGTGGGGCTTGCTTCTGATGACTCCATAGCAAGCTCATTGGTGGGGCCACTATCAATGGTCCACAGGGGCACTCTTGAATAGACAGAGGAAGGGTACCATGGAAGAATTCAGATGATCTGGCTCAACTTTAAGAAACGTACCTGTACGTGATAAAAGTGTAAGTATAACTAGCCTTTTAGGATATATAAGACATATTACATGGAATTCTAATAATTTATGAGAGCAATAACATTGTTTTCTCTCTTTTAAGCCAATGTTTTACAATATCCTGCAAATGGTAGAGCCAGTTACAAATTTATCTGACCCAAAACTTATATAAAGGAATATATAATCTAAAATAATAAATTATTAATAAAAGAATGTTAATAGCAGTTTTCATAACTGAGAAAAGTCATGGAGGCATGCTGAAAAAGTAGTGATACAAAACTGAATATTTTATGTACACGTTAGGAACACCAAATGAAACAGTATGCTCACTTCATGTCAATGAAACTAAGAAATGTATTCAATCATCAAAGGCCTTTTAAGCTTATCTTATGACACTATCTGAACACTCAATTTAAGGATAGAATGAAATTTAAGGATAGCTAAAATGAAAGCTACATTTTTTTTTTCTTTTTGAGACAGGGTCTCACTGTGTAGTTGAGACGGACCTGAAATTCACTATGTAGCCCAGGCTGGTTTCGAACTCACAGCGATCCTCCTGTCTCAGCCTCCCGAGTGCTGGGATTAAAGGCGTGTGCCACCACGCCTGGCTAAAACCTACATTTTGAGACTGATGTCTTACTTCATTCTTTTTCATGTATCATTTGTTCTGAGCCATTATTTAGAAATTTAAAACACTGAAATGTGTATGCTTCAAACACAAGAACAAGTGGGTGTCTGTGACAAGCAGGTGGAATACAATTACAACCTAAACAACTAAGGTGTCTTCCTGAACATCCAGTAATGAAGCCTGTATCTCCAGTAACCATGGTAAAAGCCTTCATTCTTGAAAACGAGCTACAAGAAAGAGAAGTTAAAAAGAAGGATTTCCATATTAAATATGATGGTCCACCCAGGCTACTCATGATATTCTGCCAAAAGGCTTACTGATAGAGAAAAACAATTTTTATAATGGAAAATCTGGCAGGTAGCACTTTAATCAAGTGAACAAAGTTAAATCAGCGGTAATAGGACAAACTGGTATCAAGTGTCAACACACGGAGGATACACTGCTGTTGCGACTAAAAACCAAACAAAATAGAAGTGAACTACAGCCTTAACCACTAAAAAAGTCATTAAAATTCAGGCTGTGCATGTTTCCTATGGTCTGTAAACTCTTACAGGATAAACAGCCTTTAGAAACACAGACAGTGACTCTCTTCTAATTACTTTCCTTCTGCGGAACTTTCTATGGTAGCTCTGGGCAATGAATGCAATTCTCTTTAAATGTTGAGTTATATTCATTCTTGTGTACACAGAGCTGTTGAAAAATCCAGATGGAATGAAAACACTGCCTGTTTCCATTCTTCAGCAATATCCAACGATCCTTCCCCCCGTGGGAGTCTAGAACACTAACACCTTCGCCTGCTCGCTTGTCAGAAAGAAAACATTTTCGATAAAGAATTGTTCGTGGTATAGCAAAAGGCTGAAATGAAAGAATGGAGCCAAGGCTCTCCACAGAGAGGAGAAACATGTGTTAAGAGCTATCTAAATATCCTAAGAACAAATGGAAATAGAGCAGTTGGAAAAAACGTGCTAGGCAAGAATATGAAAGCTAGAGTAGCAACACCTTGTCCACGCCACATAAAAGGTACTATAAAAGAATAAATCGATGGTAATTCTGGGTGGAAGACGTGACAGAGTCTGACCTGCAACACAGTGACCTGAGAGAATGCCATTCCTTCTTCCTCTTTCTTCTCCGGGGTTCTTCCTCAAGGTTAAGTTGTACCTGCAATTCAAACCTGCACTGATAATCTGCCTTGGAAGGCGTCAGAACACACAGGGCTTCAAGGGCCTCCTCGTGGAGGTGCAAGACCGGAATAACCTTGCAACCACTGGGCCACGTCACCTCTCATCTTTATTCACAGTTTCAAGGAAAAAGTTTCCAGGGCTTGGAGTCCAGCTACTGAAACTCATTTTTATGTCCACACGAGGGAACGACCTTGTTAGGCACATTTCATACCTAAACAAGCAAAGCCAAAATATCTACCCTTTCTGATAATATGCACACAATTTTACTATTTATTTCCATGAAGCTAAACCATCAGGTAAACAATAAGTCACGTAAAAACCCTTCTGGGACGTGCCCAGTCCTGCTCCACAGAGTTTAACAATCTCCAATGTCCAGAGGACAGGATATAGGGCTGATTGTCACAAATCTTCAAAACACGAGGAGCAGATTGGTGAATCTCTGAAATTCAATTAATCTACTGCATATTCTTGAAAAAATGTACTCATGTTTCCACAACTGGAAGAGAGATGTTCTCTCTTTGCACACTGAAGCTAAACCTTGGCATTTCTCTTGAAACCCCGGCCCCGGCTCAACACACCTGAGAATACTACTGCAGTACATAACCCTGGGGAAGAAAAAAAGGCAAACTAGACTTTCCTTAATGAATGAGATCTTTTTCCTCCCTGAAATCCATCTCTATTAGGTGTCTTTGGGAGTATTTATCTTTCCACCTGCACTGAAAAACTACATTTACAATCACGAAAAGCTGAAACGGAAATACGTGGACAATCGTTTCAGACCTGACAAACTCGGGCTCGGCGGGGCCCACTGGCCACCCAAGGCGAAGTCAGCCACGGTCACCTGGCTTCTCCCGCCACCGCTGTCTCCCACAGGTGCCCTGCAGGGATCGCGCCCGCACTTTTCCGCCACAGCAGATCCAGCTGGCTGACGCAGTGGAAACTAAGGCTGGAAGCGAACAGACTG